AATCTACTCAATAAAAATTATTTGTATATCGCGACTGCTTAAAAACAATTTAATGCATTTTTTTTTGTTTTGTTTATGGGAAGAATTTCGAAAAATGCTAAAACACGTGTTTATTTAATTGTATTGAAGAATATTGATACCAAGTTTTAAGTAATTCTAGTCATAAATATATTTTTTGGGTTGTATTATACCCGTGGGAATGAGATAATCTCTTGCGGTAAAAACATAAGTAAGTCACTCCCCAGCCCTCCAACTATCTCTACACAAAAAAATTACGCTACTCCGTCACTCTGTTTTGACGTGAAAGAAGAAGAAACAAACAAACTCACTTTCACATTTATAATAATAGTATGGATTGTTATCACACTGGTCACTGTGTCTTCTTTTGTCTTTGCAATAACTCTACATTGTCAAAGGTCGTAAGTCATAACCTACTATATAGCTTTCTTCCTGAACCTGACCTAAACATGCCTAATACCTATATAACTTTCTAAAATTTTACTTAATACGCAATTTACTTCCAACCATATTTCATAATATGTAAGCCACGTATTGATCTAAGTCGTAAATCTAGGCAGTAGCAAGGTAACCCCATAGCTTTAAGTGTAACAGATTGAACGCACGCAACGAACAAAACATGTATATTGTATAATATAATAACGTTTATGGGATTGCGACTTTCATATTTTATAGAATTTGCTGTTTGTGGCATCGTGGCATATTAAAATAGGTCAAGGTGGTAGGGAAATTAAAAATTCAAGAATTTTGTTTTATAAGAAAACTGTAGATTAAGTCCCATGTCGATTTTTCAACCGACTTCTTAAAAAAAGGAGGTTGTCAATTGAGCTGTATTTTTTTTAATGTTTGTTACATCAGAACTCCGTTACTTATTAACCGATTTGGACAAATTTTGTTTTGTTTGAAAGTATATATTTACAGATTAGTCCCAATTAAATGAAAAAAAAACCATTCCTAAGGGAGGAAAAATGGCTAATGGTGAATTTAACCTACTTGTAATTCTCATATTGACTTGAAACTTTGCAAGTGTTTCTATTTCCGTTGATAGTACAGTGATTCTGTATAGTTGACCTGATCTGATGGTAAGGCCAGAAGGCTAATAGAAGATACTTCGAGTTTGGACTTATTTTATTTGATTTGACAAGCACAATACGTTAGAATAGGATTTTAGAGCTAGAATTTTTAGTGTTGTTAATAAAAGCGAATTTTAGTTTGTCAGTCTTTATATAAAAATAGGCATCAAACTAACTATAACGGCTTAAACGAATATTTTATTAAAATACTTTCTTCTTACTTTGCTACTACTATGTCTAAATCAAAAAGGGAAAAAACAATATTTTTTTTAAAAAAACGACTAAAAAAAAAACTTAAAAGTAAAAAATAACTGATTGGTAGTTTTCATTTATTATACATACCTAATCAAATATTTTCGAAGCTGGTGCCAGCCGATACAAATCAAAGCAAAGCTTACATCACAAATTGATGTATAAAATTTTAAACTTCATATATGTAATTAAAGTTCATATTTACCTATTAGATATTCATAACTTAAAACATTATCGGCTGTCACCGACTTCAAAAACATCTGATTAGGTATCTATAGGAAATGAAAACTACCAATCAGTTATTTTTACTTTTTAGTGTTTTTTTTTAACTCGGTTTTTTAAGGATTTTAATCTTTAATAGCTTGGAAACAAGCCATTTCTAAGTAGTATATTTTTATTATCTGTTTTTATTGGATATAAGAAGTTCTTGAAATACACTTAAATTCCGTTGGTATCAACCAATTTGAATTACCTTGTATAGTAAGACTAGAATATAGATTAAAGCATTAATATGAAATTATAACAAAAAAATGGTCATATAGTCATATATTTATAGACCTATAGGGATCCTAAACATTTTTGGAGTATGAATAAAACAACAACATAAAATAATCTACACATTTATTAAATTCAATAAACAGACACTCGCTACTTATTCGTAGTAATATATTTACAGTCTTAAATTTACACATATTAAATGCGAAGGAATGTTTATTAGAGAAAATATGCAAAAGATATGATCGTAAGCCTAATGCTAAGCTGCCGTCATAAAAAAGAAGGCCGCAGTTTCGTCAAAGTTGGTTTCGAGATATTTGAAGTTTTGTCTTAGTAGTACTTTTAAAGTATATATTCAACCCTTTTTTTAACGTCCTACTGCTAGACACGGGCCTCCCTTCAGTACGAGGGGGATCAGGCCATAGTGCATCACGCTGGACAAGTGCGGGTTGGCGGACTTCATATGTCTTTCGAAAACTTGCTAGGTTCTCTCAGACATGCAGGTTTCCTCATGATGTTTTCCTTCACCGTAAGACAAATGCTAATTATCTTGGAAATGACTCGCACATGAAAATATCAGAGGTGCGTGACCAGGGATTTGAACCTGCATCACTCGGTTTCCCAAGCGAGCGCGTTACCACTGGGCTACCACTGTCTGTGAAGTGTATTTTGAAGTAGTTACGATGAAAATGGTTATGGTATCTTCGAATCCATAAGACTTAGAGCTTTATGAGTAAGAATATCAAGCAGCAATTTATTAGCTGATTCCGAATTTTGCATTTAAGTTATTTTTGACCAAATTGTTAGTTAGGGCCTTCTTTATTATGACGGCAGTATGGCTTTCACTAATTTGAGCTAATCGATAATATTTTTATTTAAATAATTCATATCTATTTCCATTTTATATGTAGATGCCATATTGTTTTTTTTATAATATTTTTTATCTGTTATCATTCATATACACCATTAGGCTGTATGTAGAAAGTTTTTGATGTAATTAAGTTTTTTTTAATAGCAAAATAAAAAAATAAATCTATCAACTTACGACTAGACAGGTACTACACGTTAAATACTTTCGTTGGTAATAAATAAGTTAGATTTGTGTAATGGCTACAGACACGTACATTGTTAGAATAATCGATATTTTTAAATGTATCGATTAATATTACTAATAAGTAAGTAGTAGCAACTAATTCTGGAATTGTACACTGGGTTTTAAGTAAAAGTACAAAAATCAATATTGGTAACTGTAATTGTATGAAATATTTCCGATATAGCATTTTGGAGAGTAGAAGCAACTATTACTTAAAGGATTACAAAATAAAAAAAAAACTATGTTTTCTGATTTTTTCGCGGATTTATTTAGATTTTTAGTTCTCGACGTTTCCGCAAAAATCCGCTAAAAACCCGAAAATATAGTTTCCATTTAAAATGTCGAATATTCGCGTAAATCTAAGAAAGTATTGTTATAAAATTAAATTAAATATTTATTTAAAATTGTGGCTATGACGTATGTATCATAAAGATTTGAGAATTACGTTGTAGTTTTATTTAAACAAGAATTTTGTTCTCACGAATATTATTTCCATCTTTCCCTACTTGCCTTTAACTCTCCAAAATATCTTGTCGTATTTATAATGCACTAATTTCATAAATAGTTTATTACTTTTTTTTTAAACTATATTAACACCAAGCAATTACAATCAATTAATGTATCGATATTGGCAAAATATCTATACATTAATTATATTTAATATGTCATCAATAATATTAAATATTATAATATACATCCCTATTTAATAATAAATAATCGATACAATTATTTATGAAATGTGGCTGCATACGTTTTTTTATTATCTTAATTTTATATAAACATATTATATCATTATGTAAAGATACAGCTATTAGTCTGAGCAATCTAAACTTTATTATGTGTTTTTTTATCCAGGAAAAAAGTCTTTAACATTAAAGAGTTATTAATTTGTTAAACAAATATATATATATATATATATATATATATATATATATATATATATATATATATATATATATATATACATATTTATATATTTGTTTAAAATATGTAAACAATAATTTTAATATAATAATGCTATTTAATCATTAAATCTGTTTCAGAGGGTAGAAAATCAAATTGTGTTGCAAAAGTCTTGAAAATATTATATTAAATTATATAATAAATGAAATGGAATGAAAGGCTGGTAACTGCTTAAGAAAATATACATATATATTTTGTTTAGAGAAGATACAACTTTTCGATATATATCCAAATTTCCTGGATTTGACAATAAAAAGAAAATTTAAATACCAAAATGAATTTCGTTCGACTAAAATAAGCAAAAATCTCTACATAACAATACATAATAATACAAATATGTTCTTCTTAATCCAATTGTTTTATTTCATAATTTTATAAATCTTAATATCAAATTTTGGCTCTTAAAATTATAATATTATAACCAATTATTTAATATATATATATATATACATACTGCGAAGCTACGCGTCGCCCGAATAGGCGGATAGTGGAATATCGAGTGCACATTATCACGCTAATTTATTAGACTTTTACAAACAAATGTCAAAATTAGAAAAAAATAATTGAAATTGTTTAGAAATTGAAATCCATGTACTATATAATTCCAAAAGTGGACTTTTCTAAGCATCTTACATATCCTAACATTATTTAGGAGTCGATGAATTACCAAAAAATATCCAAAAATGAAACTTATTTGGAATAAATTTTACTTCAAATACTTAAGGGCCTAAGCATACAATAATCTATCGCTTTCTGAGCACATATCTTATATTTTTTTGAACCCATGAATCATCAATAAGGTCCAAAAGTGAAACCTATTTAGAATGAAACTTAAGGATACATTACTCACTTTTTTAACTTAACACATCCTGGAAATTATTTAAGCGCTCATAAGTTAGCAGAAACTTCCAAAATAAAATACAATCACCTTACTGAGACATTCACACATTCTAATAATTTAGGAGTCCATGAATTACCAAAGTACTCCAAGAGTACTTATTTCCCAGGTCCCTTCCCTAAGGCCTTACACTGGCGTAAGCTAGGGCACGGCTATTAAAATAGTCCCCAAGTTCCCTAAGGCCCTAGACGGGCGCGGGCGCGGGCTAGGGCACGGCACGATGCGGCGCGCTCGCCAGCAGGCGCCGCACCGACTGGTGGTTGTTGCCGTCGCTGCTGGAGATGTCGCTCGTGCTCACTACGGCCGGTTGGGAGAAGTTCTTGCAAAGAACTAGAACCTGGAAAAAAATTTGTATTGTAACTCGAATGTACAGTTATCCTTTATAATAAATACTAAAAACATTTGATCAAATTTCCGATCGCTACCAAACGTCATAGGATCACCCGCTAGGCTACCTGAAGATTGCCTGAAAATTATATCAAAATCGCATCAGCCGTTTTGGAGTTACGCTATATTACTGTAAAGTTTCATCAAATTTCTTTCAGTAATTATTGTGTGAAAGAATAATAAACATCCATATATCATACATATATAATTCATTCACTATGTAATTACTATCAAAAAACATATATCTCACCGTGTAAGCGACAGTGGCGACGCCCATGACGGCGCCGGCGAGCACGTCCCACCAGTGGTGGCGGCGGTCGGTGACGCGCGTGAGCGGGCACGCCACCGCGTACAGCGCGCACAGAAGCTGCAACAGCGGCACCGCCAGCGCCGACCGGTTGTGCCAGCTGAACGCTCGCCTTTGCAGGTACCACTGGAAAGATAATATGTATATAAGAACAAGCGACTTGGCGGGTGCGTTCCTAGGTACGCGGGTTTTGTGTGGAACCCTAATAAAAAAAAACCGAACAAAAAAAGTAGCCTAACGCACTCCTTATAATATCAGCTTTCTACTAGTGAAGGTCCCGTCAAAATCAGTTTAGCCGTTTCGGGGATTAGCCGGAACATACATATAGATAAATATTTTAAAGCATCGAATATACTTTCCTATGTAGTATTTAGTAAAAAGCTGTTATTTTGACATTACAAACAGACACTTCAATTTTATTCATTTGTATAGAGTATATAGATGGAAGTATTTGGGTTAATCTTGTAACCTACAGATTATAGCGCTATAATGCTTAACATTATTGATGCTACGGGCTAGTCGTACATTGATTCCTCACTTGAGACCTGTCTTTATATGTATTTATTTTAATTTTATAATTAGCATGAATCTCAGTCATGTTAATTATAAGATAGAAATAAATACATATAAAGTCAACGCAAAAGTAACTAATCACTTGCTTAGAAAGGATTGATATATTTCGACAAGCTTATCTCTCTTACAGTAAAATAAATATTGTAAAAGACCTTTTTTATAACAACGAATTCTGGGGAGTAATTTTCAATACCAATTTTTTAAATTAGACTTGAATTGACGACACGTTTGGCTCAGTTTGTAGTGACCCTACTTGCTGTTCCAGCGGTCACGGGCGCGAATTCCGCGGAGGGTATTCATTTGTGTGATGAGCACGAACGTTCGTACTCCCGTCATGGGTGTTTATATTTATAATATGTATGTATTTAAAGTATCAACCATCTGGTATCCATAACACAAGCCTCGTAGCTTACTATGGAACTATGTAGATGGTGTTGTGTGATGGTATGTTAATGTCCCATCATATTTATTTAATTTGACAAGAAGCGTTGTCCATACCATTAGATATATCATAAAGTTATGAAAAAGATAAAAAAATTAAGTATATAAAGTTGGATTTAGAAACAATATTACATAATCTGTGCTTATTACAGCCAGTTCCTTTATAACAGCGTTAATTAACTGAGCAGTCAATGCTACTTCCGTGTGGGGCGGTTGATTGGACGATGTAAAGAGGGATCTATGGATGTGTCACAAGATTATGTAATTTTTATAATTTTAAATAAAACTATCTTTTCGGATTTTTTCGCGGATTTCGAGACATGTAACACCTCGGTCTCCCCCGTGACCATGAATGCTGTAAAGCATTCGAAACGTCCAACCAAAAATCCAAATAAATCCGCGAAAAAATCCGAAAAGATAGTTTTATTTAAAATGTCAAATATTCGCGTAAATCTAAGAAAGTTTTATAATATTGTTAATATGATGAAAATTCATATAAACACTGTGATAAGTGTTAGGTAATATGTATGGTGTCATAGCTTTTCCCAATATATTCTGCAATAATATACTAATAGTCCAATCAGAATCCGGTTTGGGAACAAAATATTTTTCTTTTCTATTCAAAATAAACGGATTCCGATTGGTCTATAAGTTTGTATGTCATAAAATGAATGACATATGATAATGTGAAATATGGTAGATTGTGCCTTTGTATACAACAATTATTTCATACCAGCGACTTACACTCGCTCTTTCACGTTTTAAGAGGATTGTGAAGTGCCGATACGCGGCGAGAGTAGGTATTTTTAAAAATGCTATCTGTTTCATACCGCTTTGCATCCCCCCGGCAGTGAACAACACAAATACAACATACGCAAATTCTCACACACACTATGATAGCAGCAGCCGATGACGCGCGGGCGCTTGCGGGGGGCGGGGGCGGGGGCGGGGGCGGCGCGACTCGGCGCAAGAGCAATTTCAAAGTTTATCTAATACTAGCGGCTCACCCTCGCTTCGCTCGGGTTCACCTCTAGAAAAGCACAAACAGATCTATCCCACGGGAACCGTTCATTTTTCCGAGATAAAAATAAAATAAATAAAATAAGTAACCTGTTGTTTGACCTGCAATATAAGGTATCAGCATGCCAAATTTTACTAAATTAGGTGCATAAGTTTTTGTGTACTGAGCTGTATAAGTTACTATAATTTTTTAACTATCCCACGGGAACTCTTTAATTTTCCGGAATGAAAAGTATCAAATTTCATTTAAATAGGTTCAATAGTATCGGAGATTAGCCCGTACGAACAGACAAACAGACAGAGAAACAAAATTTTTAAAAAAATCTGGATTTGTTCTATTTCTCTCCTTACGGGATGTAAGAAGAGAACTGACTCGTTTTTTATCAATTTTTTCTACCATCTATGTACAGACATTCGACCTCTATAGTTTTATTATTCATATAGGTATGTACCTATATTCAGATAGAATAAATAACGTATAATAAAACAGAAATATATAATAATGAAAATACTTGTAGTTATAGCGAATGTACCTTAGGAGATAGACATATACTATGTAGAACTTTTCTATAGAACTTTTTAAGACTTACAATTTTCTTGTACAATGTTTTGATCTATCTCTTAAGGTTGAGCCAACGTTAGCCATATAATTTTCTAATGACAATTCGATAGAACCAGTTATTGTATTTTCCCGTGGGAATGAATAATTTTCCTGTCGTAAAAACTATTCTAAATGTTGATCCGAGCACTAAGTTTTATCACTATACAAAATGAAGTTAAAATCGGTTGAGTACTTTTTGCGTGAAACGCGCACATCGATTTGACTAAGTTTTATTATAGGTATAAATAAGAATAAATATTGCGAGTGTAACTTAGGAGACTTTTCAAGACCTACAATTTTTTAGTATATTGTTTTGATGTATGTCTTAAGGCTTAGCCAGAGGAAGGTTTCTAGGGAGGACTCGATAAAACCAGTTATTGTATTTTCCCGTGGGAAAGAAAGATTTTCTTTAAGTAAAAGGTATCTAGGCAGTGGTATCCCAGTGGTAACGCGCTCGCTTGGGAAACCTAGTGAAGCAAGTTCAAATCCCGGGTCTCGCACCTCTGATATTTTCATGTGCGAATCATTTCTAACACAGTTACCACTTGTCTTAACGGTGAAGGAAAACCTGCATGTCAGACAGAACTTAGCAAGTTTTCGAAAGACATGTGAAGTCCACCAACCCGCACTTGGCCAGCGTGGTGGACTATGGCCTGATCCACCTCGTACTGAAGGGAGGCCCGTGCATGTGTTAAAAAGGGCTGAATACAACATACATACATACATACAAAAGGTACCCTAAATGTTGACTCGAGTAATAAGTTATCACTTCACCAAATTTCGTTGAAATTGGTACATTACTTTTCGCGTGAAACGCACACACAAAAACAGACAAACAGACATACTGGCAAACAGCCAAACAGGCAATTTTTTTAATAACTATTGTTTTGGGGTTTATGTTGTATACATAATACGTTACAAATAAACAAAAACATCTATCCCACGGGAAAAGTACATTTTTCCGGGATACACTGTTACCTATTTGTTATTCTGATGTATGAACTATATTATTGTAAAGTTTCATCAAAATCCAATCAGTGGTTTTTGTGTACTAAGCTGTATAAGTTACTATAGTTTTTTTGACTATCCCACGGAAACTCTTTAAATTTTCCGGGATGAAAGTAGCTGATTTGTTTTTGTCATGTAATGAAATATATTATTGTAAAGTTTCATTAAAATCCAATCAGTAGTTTTGTGTACTGAGCAGTATAAGTTGTTATAGTTTTTTTTTAACTATCCCACGGGAACTCTTAATTTTCCGGGATGAAAAGTATCTAAGATGTTTGCCCGGGGATATAAGGTACAACCATGCAAATTTCATTTAAATAGGTCCAATAATCCGGAGATTAGCCTGTACAAAGAGAAAAACAGATAAAACAGCTCGCTCGGGTTCGTCCATACATACGAATATGTTGTATTATCTCTTTAACCATTTGTCCAAATTATATGCAGTAAAAGGGAAAAGTCTTTTATTTTAAACATTTTAGACGATAAATTCACTTATTTTGATAAGAATTCATAATTGTTGATAATATGACCAATAAACATGACCTACCGATTTAAATGATTTTTTAATATAAAAAACTACTTTTTGTGACTTTAAATATAAAAGTTAGACATATGCTGTCGCTGACTTTTTTGTAGGCATTATTAAGTTCTACAACTTTTTTCTAGAACATAATCATATATCTCTCATCGTTAAGGCAGCGTTCGTAAGAAACGTTTTCGTTCGACCGTTTTTTCTCCGACTTACTTTGCAAATCCGACTATCACGAAAAAGCCTTTTCATTATTCGGGTTAATATATAGCCTATGACACTCAAAAAGAACGTGGCTTTCTATTGGTGAAAGAATTTTGAAAATCGGTTCAGTAGATCCAGAGATTACCCCCTACAACGTCACAAACTCACAAACTCACAAACTCACAAACTCACAAGATCACAAACTTTACCTCTTTATAATATTAGTATAGATTTATTATTTTAACGGTTTGCTTACAATATACATTCCCTACAAGTTACATCGCACCTTTATTCATAAACTGAAATAACTCTAAATTACAATTCTGTGGCGAATATCATTTAAAATTTGACTTGTTTAGATTGATGACTTCAAAAAATCATAAAAAAATAAATAGGTGCTTTAGATCAATTACAAAAATCTCGTTCCAAAAGTTGAAAGTTATAGAATTTTTTTGTTGTTTATGTAGGTACTAATAGACCCATCGGAATCCTTTTATTGTTAAAATAATTATTTTATTGAAAACCTGAAGTTTTATGATTTTATAATGTTAGCAGGTATATAAGGAATAGAAATTCATAAAATGACCTGATCATGAATGATGATGATTTACGATTTTTTAACATATCTATGACTAAATTTTATAAAATATATCAACTTAATTTTTTTAAATATATTTTTAACTAATGAATAAACAAGATTAGATTACGAATGATTTTCATTTCTTTCTGTAATTGCCCTAAAATCATTTTTTTCAGAAAAATCAATAAAATTAACTCCAAAAACTAATAAAATATCGATAATTTCGAAAAAATTATAACGAATAGTATGTGTATAATATATATATAATATACATATAATATATATATAATTATACACATACTATTCGTAATAATTTTCATAAAATTATAACGAATATTATAAATTATAACGAATATAAAATTAAAAATATAAATTTTACAAAAATAAAAGTATTTTTATTGCTCCTTCTAAACGGTTAATAGTCCACCAGCAATTAGCAAAAGAAAGCGCGTGACCGGTGGTGGGCGAGGGTGGAGGGCGAGGGGTGGAGGGGTGTAGGAAGTGGTCCTTACTCATTCAAACTTGGCCAGATATAATGATGATGATGATATAGAAAATATTTTTATTTTTGTATGAAAATGAAAATTTAAGAAATATTTTTTTTTCTTGTTACAGAGGTTGTTGTTATGATGTAAATAGTATATTCCCAAAGGTCTTCAGTAAATTAAAAATGACCCTGTATATATATATATATAATATATATATATTTTCAGTTTTGTATTTTTTCTCAGAAATGAGATATTTTCCCGCGGTAATGCTATAATATGTTGATCCGGATAACCAGCTACCACCATACCAAATTTCATCAAAATCCCTCCAGTGGTTTTTCTGTGACGTGGTAACAGACAGACAGACAGACAAAAAATCTAAAAACTATAGATTCGGCCTCTGTATCGATAATAATGTTTATTTCAATAATATTTTCCAAAAAATATTTAATGTACAGATACGGCTTAGTTACAATCTATACATACGAGTATAATAAAATTCTAAACTTTGGATTGAATCCTTTTAGTATCGATCGATATATCGATATTACCTTCTCCTCCCTAGGAGATAATAATATCGATAGCACCTTCAACATCACTACAGTCTAAAATATGCCCCTGCCCCCGACCCGTATGGTGCGATAGAGAGAGTTGCAAGTCTTAGACTCAATTACCTACATTTCCTTTTTGAAATATTGTTTCGGGCGATAACGTTTTCACCCCCCTAAACATTAACGAAATGAGACGATTTTGGTCTCATTAGATTCAGTACACCTTAATCTAGGTCTGTACGTTTTCCTTTTTTTGTAATTCAGTTTAGTTTAATTTAAACAAATAAAAACGCTGGAGGAAGTTTTTAGGTCAAAAATATAGATATTTAGATGCTAATAACTTCTGTCGTACGCAATATTTCAAAAAAATAAAAACGTACGGACCTAGATTTTGATTATATCTACAACATTTCCAAAAATTATGAAAATTAGACTATGTTTAAGGGGGGAAAAACGTTATCGCTTTTTGTATGAAAATTTACAGGTTCACAATCCTCTTAATTTTTTTGAGCAGAACCCTAATTCTGTTTATAAAATAAAAGTAGCCTAAGTTACTCCTTATAACAACAGCTATCTGTCGATGAAAGTCTGGTCGAAATCAGTCCTGCCGTTTAGATTAGCCGGAACAAACAAACATACAGACAAACAGACAGACAAAAATGTTCAAAATTTTGTTTTTCTTATAACTATCGTATATAATTTTATATGCATTTAGTGAAACGCTGTTTTATTGATATTACAAACAGACACTTCAATTTTATTTATCTGTATAGATGTAATATGATAAATGGGTAATTTCTTACCGCTAAAAAGAGTCCGGAGTAGACGGATAAAGAGGTGTGTGCAGATGGAAAGCTTCTACTGGAGTCGATCTGTAAGTACCGAGAGAACTTCGTAGATGTACACGTGAAGCTGCTTACGTACTCAGAACTGTAAACAAAATCTATTATTATTATATATAAAGATGGAAGAAAATAGTATTGACCTAATGCAATTATATATATATATATATATATATATATATATATATATATATATATATATATATATATACCTCTTATATACATACATATAGATATATAATATTTAATTACCCCAAATCTAATCCTATTGTATATAAAAGAGGTCAACTGTATCTTATGGGAAAAAAATATTTATTACTTTCAACAAATAACTTTGAAGGATTTTTAGATTATTGGTTTTTTATCATAAACTCATACGAGGTAACCATGAAAATAGTTATTCATTCACTCAATAATTAAAAATATTTTAACCATTTCAGAAATCATGGTATTAGATTAATATTTTAGATTTACGCGAATATTTCATTTTTAAATAAACTATTTTAGCGGTGACGTTGGGAATGCTTCGCAGCAAATATGGTCACTCTATGGGAGACGCTCTCCCATCAAATAACATCAAAATAATATGTTTATATAATGATATTCAAAAACATTTTCTGTTACTTCTATCTTTCATTCATAATAAGGTACTTATTCAGATTATTTTTCAATAAATTCCAAAATGTTGAACGAAACAGGTTCATAATCCGCATTCTATTGGGTTTAACACAAATCGAAACGTTGCGGTTACAACCGCTCGTATTACATTGGAATTTTTGTGTGCACTTGACATGTTCATACAAACACTCGTTTTTCATTGCCAACTTAACAAAGTAAAGATTAAATATTTTTCAATATTTATATGACGAGGTTTTCACTTATTAAGGATTATTATTTATTTTTTTATTTGAGATCTGTATCATAAGATACTTGTACTTAAAAAACATAAAATTTGATGGAAGTTTCTACAATAATTTATTGAACAAATAGATAATTGATAGTTGCTAATATTTTTATACAAGCAATTGTCTTTATTAATAGAAAATCAAATAATAATTTATCACATTTTTTTTTAAATCTTAATTAATTGTAAACGTACGACAATATAATCGTATGTGTTAAAAACTAATTTTAAACCTTATTTATATCATACCCCGTATTAATGTAGAAATGAACTTTTTCAATTATATAATTAACAACAAAAAAAACTTACCCATTACATGTCCTCGCTTTGTCTGGTTCGCACAAATCAAAGAAAGTCGGTCTCGGTGAACCCACGACGCACTTCACAACCTCCAAAACTGTCAAGTTAAGAACTGCACCATATATATAGTCTCTATATATGAATGCAGCGGTTTTAGCACTAGCGTAGAGCTTATTTTTCTTAATCGTGTACTCGTCGTCCCTATGTAGTATAGTTTCAATAGCCCACATCTGTAATAGAATGATTGCATAAGTGCCAAGGTACAGTTGTGAGGTACATTTATCTTATTACGTAATAGCGTATTTGAGATTTGACACGTTTTTTTCTTCCTAAATTAAATTTTTCTAGTACTTTGTTGGAGTTGCTATGTTTTTTGGGGCTTATTTTTTTTCGTTTTTGGGATTTTTTCCTTTGTTGGAAAGCTCGTAGCTTACTGTAGCTACTCCGAATGAATCAAAAATTTAGAATGTAAATTAATAAATTTCAAATTTTAAGTTAAAAAAGAGTTTAAAATTAACGCAAAAAACAATAATTACTATACTCAGAAAATTAAGTACGAGTATTTTATTTTGTTATAGTTTGTGATGTATAAAATATTTTTTTTTCTTTAGTGGCTTAGAATTGCGTTAACAGACGCGATACATTCTGCCAGTGTCACGTATTGTGAGGAAGACACGAATGAGTTTGGTAATTTTGAAATTTAGCAGCTATAACGTGGAATTAATTAACTATAAATAAATGATCGGTCTACAGGAGCAAACCTACAGCATTAAAAGATAATTACGCAATAAAAATAATAGTTTTACTTATTATTTTACAAACTGACACTTAGACAGTAACATGAGTTTTCTTTAAAGTTGAAGACATTTTTTACAATATATTTTGCATCAGTAACATTTTTACTCTTTTCCACGTTAATTTTAATTTTCAATGACTAAACTGTAGCTTATTAAGTATATTTTTTTCTTTAATGGCATTAAGCATGTATTCGTAAGCATGAAAAGAATCCGTCACTTAGAATTGACATTGATCTCATAATAACAAACACGTCATTTGCGGATATTTAAAAGTTGATGGACGTTACACAAAGTTCTTAACAGAATCCTCTTTAGAATTTGCAAATTTTTTGTTACACTGCAAATATAAATTTAAATATTAGCGGCGATTTAAATGTAAATTTGTGTTGTACGCAAATACGTTGTATCGATTTTGAGTAAATGTGAAAAATGTATTGTAAACATGACATTATAACCTATAGGGTATAATGTAATGAAATTCTGAGTCGAAACTGTACATTAAATATTTTTTGAAAAATCTTCTAGTTTTTAGAATATTTGTCTGTTTGTCTGTCTGTCTGGGAACGCATCACGAGAAAACTACTTGACAGATTTTGATGAAATTTGGTATAATTATTGGTGGTTTTCCTGGTTAATATATAGGATACTTTTTACTGCGGGAAAATATATCATCTCTGAGAAATCTATACCAACCGTCAAAACGTATCTAAGGACGAACGCGAGCAGAACGAGGGTGAGTCGTTACTAGTAAGTATAAATTAAGACGTCGTTTTATAGTGTGCATAAACCTGTTGGATTGTCTAAATGATATTAGTCATAAAAGGGGAGAGTATGAAATGTGTATGTTTATATAACTGCGATAGTAAAGTCCAGGGTATATATCATGAATTGACAACACGTTTGGCTCAGTTTGTAGTGACCCTACTTGCTGTGCCAGCGGTCGCGGGTTCGAGTCCCGCTGGGGGCATTCATTTGTATGATGAGCACGAATGTTTGTACTCCAGTCATGGATGTTTATATTGATAATACGTATGTATTTATAGTTATATATGTGTAGTATATCAACTATCTGGTACCCATAACACAAGCCTCGTAGCTTACCATGGAACTAGATGGCGCGTGTGTTAATATCCCAACATATTTATATTATTTTTATTTATGAATATTAATTAGGTATATGACTTTTATTAAAGAAAAAAAACTATAAACAGTAAAAAAAGCAACAGCGTACAAAGCGAACTAAAACGATGGAAACAAGTTGACGAAGAAACATAGCACTATGCAGTCGGAGATATACATGTTTCATTCTTGCTGCTAAATGTATCTATGTCTCCGACTACATAGTACTGTTTCTTTATACGCAGTCGGGTAATTTTTTTTAATAATTTTTGGTTCTGGCTAATTAGACATTTGGAGTTTTTTTTAATTGAATACATTGTAACATTTGTTAACGTAAATTATTATATTATTACCCTAATTCAAATTTCGGAAATACTATACGAAAGCGGAAATTTATTTTTTTAGTCAAGAAAATCTTAGTAGCAGTACGAAATTTGTAAATTCGTAGTGTTACGTTAATTTTTTACAACGCCTTTACGAACTTTTGCATTATTAATAAGCCTCTAAGAAATAGTTTTTTTCATACGTACTATTAGATAGGGCACAATAACAGTAATTGTTGCGACGAGCGAGATGGAGATAGTGTCTCCCGTATGAGGGAATGAGAGGTCCGGATCGTTGCATCTGAACCCACTACGCCTACTTGGTAGCGCTCCAACTTCTAGAAGAATGCAGACTGCTGCCACTGCGGACAAAGAAAATTGATTTTTAATAACTTTTTTATAATATTATAATACACTAGCATTGCCGGCCCTCCTGGCTCTCCGCCCGCGTTCTGATGACCAAAAACCAAATTCTTAGGTTTTACATATTAGTATACTGTTACATTGCAGTTTTTGTGTTTTTTTCTTATAAATTATATATATTCCCGCGGTAAAAAGTATCCTATACGTTGACCCGGATAACCAGCTATCACCATACCAAATTTCATCAAAATCGCTTCAGTGGTTTTTCTGTGACGCGGTAACAGATAGACAGACAAAAATTCTAAAAACTATAGATACGGCCTCTGTATCGATAATAATGTTTATTTCAATAAGATTTTATAAAAAATATTATAAAAAATAAAAATATTATAAAAATATACGGCTTAGTTACAATTTTATTATACATGTATAGATAATAATAATAATATTTTCTTTTAACTTTTTTATAAACAGTCTATAGTTTTTTTTGAAGACTCCCGTTACCATTATTCCTGTGAAACATTCGAAATGTCGGGAATCAAAAATCAAAGTAAAGCCTAGAAAAATCCGAACAGATTTTTTTTTCATTTTATAGCCTATTAATTGAGGAATATTTTAGGTTATTAAAAATTAAGTATTCTATAGAAGTGGGATAATTATACGAAATTAAATAGAGTTATCGAACATAGTCGTGGTCACAAGCTAGTATATTATAAATATGGTTTAAATTATTTAATTAATTTAAACCATATGGTAAAAATTTACGTGTGAGGTTGTAATATTTTTTATCTATTAACGCAAGAGGTAATTTTATTATCTGTATGTAGTCTCTGTAGATTAACATAATATTATAAACTCAGAAAGCGTCTTTGAGAGTAGCCACTATGTCTTCTACGAAAAAATGAACGAATATTTAGAGATGGTATTTAGGTAAATGAACAAACATATTAAGTTAAATAATTTTCGAAAGCATATTATTATTATCTTTAAAGATGTCATTATAATGTCATTTGAAATATCTTAAAAGGATGTGACGCAGGAAGTATCTTAAGAGATGTGGAGTAACACACAATCTTCTAATAGATAATATTTATACCCACTTCTTTTATTGATAAACTACCTAGCTTTTACTTTAGCTAGTTTTTAACTCATCAAGTGAAAACTAAAATTATTTATAGAGTTTAATGCTCATTGAAAATAATTTAATTAATACATAAAACGAAAATACTAAAAACAAATACATTTTAGGTAGTCAATATACTCGTAAATAAATAGGCAAAAATACCATTAAAAAAACCTTTTCTCTTCTGTTTGTCAGCCAATTTTCTTTATTTGATTCATAGCTATTTTATTGTGAATAAAAAAAAATTGAAACAGTTAAATTTTTTTATTTAGATTTTCCTCAAATTTTCAATAATGATTATGGTCCAATTTTGACTACTGGGCGAACACTAGTATTTATAAATCATTAAAAAAAATGTTTAAATATCTTTTTTTTTAACAAACAAGCAAGTTTCGGCCTCGGTTTGCGGTTTCAATCTTCGTTTAATGATTCAGGATAAATATTTAAATTAATCACATTATGAAATCGCTATGCCGGCGACTTCACTCGCATGGTAAGTGGGACGACGATAAATGGTAGTCGACCCCATGATGCTATTTATGCCATATCCAAATTTCATCAAAATCTGTTTTGTAGTTTAAGTATAAAAGGTAACAAAAAAAACAGACGTAACTTTCAGATATATCTAATATTAGAATAGTAACTGCCTCGGTGGTGTAGTGGCTAGCATGTACGGCTGCACACACGGAGATCCTGGGTTCGAGTCCCGGGTCGGGCCAAGTTTAGTTATTGAGTCTTTCTGTATATTAAGTCTCAGTAACAGCCCGGAGTTGGGAAGTTGGCGGTGTTTCACCCCCGTGCCTCGGAGAGCACGTAAAGCCGTCGGTCCTGCGCCTTAACTCTCACCGGTCGTGTCGAGTGGTCGTCCCACCGGAGTATGAGAGTGACGGGAATAGAGAGTGCACTTGTGTCTGCGCGTACACTTGAGCACTATAATATCTCCTGCGCAGTTGGCAAATCTCAATGAGATTGGCCGCCGTGGCCGGAATCGGCTAGGAGAACATCATCATTAGAATGGATTCTTAATAAATATCTATCCATAAATTCTAAAAATAAAATATATTTAAATAGACCAAGTAATTTTTTATAGGTCTATATGGCAATGGATGATTTTTAACACAACATCTGTAAATTATGTAAAGGTGGCTTTCTTTTTCGCTTTCAATACAATCTTAACATATTTAAGAATACACTACCAGGATATGACGATAATTTAAGATTTCAAAATTTCCAATGAGTGTTGAATCTGTTGCAATCAATAAGTTCCTCGTAAAAAATCGAGATCGGCTGTGAGTCATATGTTCATAATGTTTTATTTCAAATTTTTTACTTAATACTTATTATATCTTTACAAAACATACAGAGTTGTAAAGTTTTTATATAAAAAGACTAGCTAAACCTGACGAGTGGAATAAATTAAAGTGGAAAAACAGATTTGCGATTTTGAACAAACGAACATGAGATTTATATATATATATATATATATATATATATATATATATATATATATATATATAGATTTGTTATTACTATTTTTTCTCTTTATTGGCACACTGCAATCAAAATTTATAGCACTTATGATAAATGTAAGTAATTTCAAGGAGGGCTTTAGATATGTACTTAAATAACTATAATAGTAGGTTTCTAAATCTATTAGGAACTGACCAAAGCAAAGAGCACTAGGTTTCATATAAATTAATAAATCATTGAATTATTCATATAATTGAATTATGAAATTGAAATATGTTCATACATAACATAATTATTATCTATACATATAAATAAAATTGAAGTGTCTGTGCGTCAATTTATATGACACCAGTACCATATAATGACTTATTTATAGTAATGATTTTTTTGCCTGTCTGTCTGTTTATCTGTTTGTCCAGGGTAATCTTTGGAACGGCTTAACCGATTGTAATGGAATTTTCACTGAAAGATAGAGATATTATACGGCTATGTATAGGGTCGTTTTAGTTCGGAAACATTTCCAGCGCAAAAATTGAAAACTCTTCAAAATTACAAAAACTGCGAATTTACGATTTCACAAAAAAGTCCAAGATAACGTGTGTGCATCTTCTAAGGTACACTAACTATAACTATTTATATCTACTGAAAACGTTCCTAAGGCCGAGCGAAGTGAGGGTAAGTTACTAGTATATATGTATACAAGGCCGAAACCTTGCTTATTAAAATACTTAATTTCAATAAGAAAATATAATTATTATACAAGTTTTATGTATTTTCTCTAAGAAGTACTATTGATGTGGATATTATATTTGATGGGGCTTAAAGGTCAATTATAGAATTAATTATACTTAAGATATTTTTGTTACCTTACAGCTATGAGATTTTCGTACTAACTTTCATTGATATTGTTAAGGTCTTTTAGTAATCCAACTTTGCTACATAATCCAATATCTTCGAATGCCTTTGATAAATGGTCCCATACTTTTTTAGCATTTGTTGAATTTAAGAGAGAGACAGACATCAAGGACTAAGTATTACGTGGTATTCTAAAACTTAGAAGTTATATATTTTACTAAATAATGTTTACGATTTCTATAGAAATAGGTTGTATATTTTAAAAAAAAAAACACGTGGAAAGGAAAATCGTGGCGGATACACGTGGTGAAATTAAGGCCAAAATAAAATGAGTACAGCTTGCTAATATTTATATGAAATTTTGTAATATTAAGTCATTTGTTTTGTAATCGACAATTATACAACAGGAAGCACGTAATGTAGGTACTTCGTATACATATGTATATTAGTATATGAAGGAGTGTATAACACTATGTAGCCTATAAACTAAGTATGTTTATATCACCTGGATCACACCTTTTCTGCACAAAAATACCAACAAACCAACAAATACATTCGTATTTATCATATACTCGTAACTAGCGACTCAGTCCCTAGGTACGTTTTAAATGTATATAAATAGTTATTATCAAGCGTTAGCCATGTAAATTTTTATAATTTTTTCGTAAATTTTCCGATGTTTTAATAGTTATTCTGCTATTCGGGGCGGAGACAATCCAACAAATCAAAGATCATAGAAATCGGTCCAGCTGTTCTTGAGTTATAAATGGTGTAACTACGCCGACTTTGTTTTATATATATTGAATATAGAGATGTACGAACATCGAACATAAAAACTTATATTTTCACACTCACAGTGGACAAAGAAAATAACTAGTAAAATTCAAGTATATAACAGTATCTATATATAGATACGTTTTGAGTCATTCTTTGTGTTTAATGTTTTTGTCCCACATGTGATTGCTTACATGGTGATCTCCGTAACTAAAAACCGCATTGTTTGTAGACAATGCCGTTCTCACGATCTTCGTACCGTTAAATAAGCGACAATTTGACACTTGCTTACTCTATTTAGAATGATTTTCATACATAGAAATGACTTTATTTATTTTACTTTATGCTAATTTGTTACTTTTTTTAAGCCCAAAAAGCCTAAGTTTTAAATAAAACTATCTTTTCGGATTATTTCGCGGATTTATTTTGATTTTTGGTTCCCGACGTTTCGAATGCTTTACAGCATCCATGGTCACGGGAGAGACGGAGGTGTTACATGTCTCGAAGGTATAGTTGTTACAGACAGCCTACCCACAATTAACAGGCTGTCTGTAAAAGATAGTTTTATTTAAAATGTCAAATATTCGCGTAAATCTAAGAAAGTATTAGTCTAAGTTTTATTGCAGTTGTCTCATAGAAATGTTTTAGTCTAAGTTCAAAAATATTTTTCGTTTCAAAATTTTACGATTCTTCGCAAAATAAAGTGCTGGTTCTTAAGTATAGTTGTTAATTGTTAATAATACTATTATATTTGTATAGGTAGAGCATCTTTTAATA